TCATTATAGTCTTAGATTTGTTGATGCTTGGATTCGACGTTGGACCCAGACGGTTGGATCGGGAGGTCATTAGGGCCACAGTAACAGGATAACTAGTGGAAACTACTTCCAAAGAAAGGTTTCGTTCGGGCAGTTCAGTGTTGCAGGTAGTCCAGTGTTTTAGGCAGTTCAGTGTTTCAGGCAGTTCAGTGTTTCGGGCAGTTCAGTGTTCCAGATAGTTCAATGTTTCAGATAGTTGCAGTATATTGGGCAGTATTAATTTTGTGTCGGACTGCAAGTTCAGCCATATTAGTTGGACCTGGGTGGTCTTAGTTCATCCGAAGCTAGATATGGAATAGCAGAATTTTTAGTTAGTAGCAGTGCGAGTATGCAGCGTATGGTAGGATTCAGTCATTTGTTCGTGGGTTGCGCGACACCGAATGGTAGTAGAAAGAATGCCCAGTGGATATTGGCGATGATGACCCGTACTGGGAGTAGCGGGAGTAATAGATTTGGTGGAGACACGGTCTTCACAATGATGGAAGAGGTCGGTAGTTATGGAGCATCACCTTGGGAAGGCAAGGAAATCGTGCAAGGAAAGAAGGGGTGAACTTCTACGGGGTCAGTGCAGTATTTGGAGAGTATCAGAAGGATTGTCGGTTGAGTGAGTTGCGTTTCCAGAATGTTCAGGGTTAGGATGGACCCGAGATTATTATCTGTAAGGATTGACATTGGTATTGGTCTGAATAACTGAGTGGAAGGCCAGCGAAGGTAGGCAGCTGGTGTTAGAATGAGCGGCGGGGTATTGGAGGCAGATCGCAGTCGGTGGATCGTAGCAAACTTCGAGGACGAAGTTTAGTTTAAGTGGGGGAGAGTTGAAACACCCAAAGTTTGGAAAGCCAAGAAAAGAAAGAAAACCCCAATTTTAAGTGGAGACTCGGCGAGTCCAAGGAGGGACTTGGCGAGTCCGAGCGGGATCCGGGTCAAGGAGTAAGCGACCGACTCGGCGAGTCGGCCAAGGTGACTCGGCGAGTCTGGTCTGAACGAGGAAAACCCTAAAATCGGGACTTGGAGCCTATTTAAACGCCTCATTCTCTTCCCTAAGGTTCCTTTACTGCCTCTTTCACCCAGGACATCAAGCCCTAGCCGTCACATCCATTGATTGAGCCATTTATTGACTTGGAAGGTGCATTGAAGCTGGAAGGAGGAAGAAAGAGCTTGGAGGAGCAGGAAAGGACTATAGATATGGGATTGTGAGTTCATTCTGAGCATTTGGAGGTAATAAACTAGTTCTTGGACCCCTCTTTGCACCTAGATCTATGTGTTGTTGTTGGAGTTTTTAGCCATGATGTTATTCTTTCAAGTTAGAAGCCAGATCTGATGTTGCTACTTCAGATCTAAGCATGTGATGGTCTTGAGAAGCACAAAGTATCAGCCCTTGAGTGGATCATGAAGCCTCTTTGCCTTAAACCCTAGTTCATGGTGTATTTTGCCTAGATCTCCTTCTCTACACGTAAAGTTTGCAACTTTACGTGAGGAATAGGCTTGGGAAGGGTAGATCTACAGTTTGGAGTCCATGCATGACTCAATAGCCCTCTGCATGTAGAGGGATTCGAATGGACTCGGCGAGTAGCATGAAGTAGTGGAGCAACTCGACGAGTGGGATGAACAGCTCGTCGAGTCAGATGAAGATTGCCTTGTACTCGACGAGTCTGTTCTTGGACTCGGCGAGTCAGGTTGCGAAACCCCAAACCCTTCGAGTCAAGGCCCAGATTAGTGACTGGAGTAGGGACTCAGTGAGTTGGACAGGACAAAACTCGGAAATCAGTGAACTCGACGAGTCAGTAGACTGACTCGGCGAGTAGGGTCAACATGGAAGGTTGACTTTGGCCAGGACTTTGACTTTGATCGGAGTTAAGTTAGTTGACTTTTAGAGGACCGTCAGGCTAAGTGTCGCTTTATTATTGGTAGCTTGGAGAGTTAGAGGAGCAGCATTTCAGACAGTGGTTGGTTAGCAGTCCGAGGGTTACCAGCAGAATTCAGCAGTTCAAGTGAGTTTCTTTCAAGTAGGAACGGGTCTAAGGCCACAATGTTGGCCCGTTCAGTTAGCAGTAGTTTCCGGACTTCGGTCCGATGTAGTAGTTAGTATGTTTGATGCCTTCGTGGCTCAAACAAGATTTATGTGTTATGTGTTATGTGTTATGTGTTCCGAGCTACGACCCGATGTAGTATGCAGTATATGTGTTCATGCTAGTTGATATGTTGTGCTATGCTATGTTCAGTCAGTTTCCGAACTTCGGTCCGATGCAGGGGGCAAGGCCCCAGTTAGTCCCGACTTCGGTCCGATGCAGGGGACAAGGTCCCAGTCAGTTTTCGGACTTCGGTCCGATGCAGGGGGCAAGGCCCCAGTTAGTCCGGACTTCGGTTCGATGCAGGGGACAAGGTCCCAGTCAGTTTTCGGACTTCGGTCCGATGCAGGGGCAAAGGCCCCAGTTAGTCCGGACCTCGGTCCGATGCAGTGGGCAAGGCCCAGTATGTGCTTTATATGTTATTGTATGGTATGTGGTAGTTTGGGGGAGCTCACTAAGCTTCGTGCTTACAGTTTCAGTTTTTTGTTTCAGGTACTCAGTTTTCAAAAGAGGAGCTCGGAGAGATTGCACTGCACACACCATAGTCAGCTGGCCTGGGATGTTTTACTCTGATAATAAGTTTGTATTTCGAATTAATGCTATGAAATTATGTTATGACTTATGATACGGTTTTATAAATGTGGTTTTAGTAATGTTTTAAAAAAAAATTTTAGTCGTGATATTTGGGACGTTACATTATGATTTGCACATTTTTTTTAACTAATGTGTTTGTTAGCTCACATTGATTTATTGTTTGCTTTTTGTCTCGCGTATATGTACTCGTTGCACGCAAATGTCAAATGTCATTTATATGACACAATCGTTATTGAAGGTTCGACTGATGACATCTACCACTCTACCACATCTCGATATATGAGATCTGGTTTTTTTTTTTTTTTTTTTTTTTTTTTTTTTTGGTAATATTTATTCATCAAGAGTAATATATCAAATAAATAGTTTAATGCATATAATTTTAAGACTACTTTTTTACTTTATACAACATGATTTTACAAAGAATTTTAAATGTTTCATTACTTTATTAACCATTGCATGCATATTATTGTGTAACAGCCCGAAATTCAGGTACAACCAATTAGCCCTTCATCTTTTATTCATTTGTCATTTTTGAGCCTTTATGTTGGGCGAGTACGCTGGGCGTACAAGGAGTACGCTGCGCGTACTCGCGCGCCTCATTAAAACGCATCATCATCCGGATACGCTGGGCGTACCCAAAGTTACGCCGGGCGTAACCGGTCCAGAACCAAAACCCTAATTTGGGTTGTTGGATATAAAAGGAATGAGATGGCTTGGTTCCTCAGCCACCATCCTTCAAAAAGAAACCTTAAGAGAGTTGTTCCTTCGTTCATAGCTTGATTGTGAGTGTTCTAAGCTTTGAGGTGTCATTTCAAGGTAGCAAAAGAGAAGAGGAGTCCATTGTGGAGGCTAGAAGTTGGTGTACAAGTGTAGATTCGTGGATAGCAAAGGTTTGAGCTTCTTCCTAAGGTAAAAAGTTCAAATCTTGCCTTGTAGTTCTTATGGTATGCTTCATGGACCAATTTCTAGGGTTTTGGTCCCAAAGATGGAGACTTTATGAACAAGTAGTCTCCATTGGCTTAGATCTATCATATTCCTGGTCCATTTGAGTTGCATGTTCATAAAAATGTAATCTTGGACGTATATGATTAGCCATGCATGAGATCTAGATCTTTTGAGTTGAAAAGGAAAGGTATTAGAGAGTGTAGGAGCCTTTACAGCCATGCCAAGGCTTAAAGGTTTCGACTTTATGGGTTAGGAGACTTAAAGAGAGCCGAATCTAGAAGTTGAAGAAGTGTCTTAACCATTTAAGACCAAAAATAAGGTGTGGCTGAATCTGGGAATTACGTTGGGCGTAACTCCTAGTACGCATAGAGTACAGGGTTGAGACCCTGATTGTGGTTCAGTGGTGTACGCCCCCGCGTACAGAAGCTGGTACGCCCCACGTACTGTGGTATGTTGACTTTTGTTGACTTTTAGGGTTTTGGTCAACGTGTGGACTTTGAGTCAAGGAGGGGTGAAATGGTCTTTTACCCCTCTGAGGAATAATAAAAAGGGTGAAGCCTAGTCTTAGAAGTCTATATTAATTAGAATGATATGTCGTTATGATTAGGCGGGGTCGGGTCTTCGTTTCGAGATTCGGAGATAGCGAGCACATGAGATTCTAGACTTTCTACGAGGTGAGTCTTCTCATTATACTGTATCTGGAAGGGTATTTATGTGTGACATTATGTTATGGGCCGGAAGGCATTTATGTATGGGCCGAAAGACATTGTGATGTGGACCGCAAGGTCGATGCGGGTAGGACCGGAAGGTTTACCGGGTCGGGACGGAAGTCCCCTGAGACAAATGGACCGGAAGGTCATGGCCTGGAAAGGCGTATGTGTGTAAGTAGTATTTTGAGGAACTCACTAAGCATTTATGCTTACAGTTGTTGTGTTATGTGTTTCAGATACTAGCGAGGACCGTGGAAAGGCACCGACGTGATCTGTACACACTAGCGGAGGATTTATTTTATAATCTTAAGATTTATATGTTTTGTACGATGACAAGATACATTGAATTTTGATGACTTGATTTGGATGAAAATATGTTTAAGAAATGAAAATTTTGTTTTGAAAATTTTCATTATTACATATTGAAAAACGTATTAGGTAAAAATATAAGACCATAAAAAGTAGTATTTCAAGAAATATGAACAAATCATGAATTTCAATTTTGAAAATTGCGTATAAAGCTGAATACAGAAACTCCACCAACCTCACTGCCATTCTCTCTCTTTTTCAAACACACACAGTTGTGTGTTTCTAGTGTGTTCTTCCAAAACTCATCAAACATTTTTCTGCAAAGTTTCTGCAAATGGCAACAATGACCAATGTAGCCCTCCTCCTGCTGCTACAACTTGTCGTCTACGGCAAAGTCACGGCGGCGACATGGTGCGTCGCTAGAAACGACGCCAAAGAAGACGCGTTGCAGACAGCACTGGACTACGCCTGCGGCGCCGGAGCAGACTGCGCACCCTTACAAGACACCGGACTGTGTTTCCTTCCGAACACCATCCAGGCGCACGCTTCCTACGCATTCAACAGCTTTTACATGCACTCTTCCATGGATTCCGGCGCTTGTGACTTCTCCGGCACCGCTGCCATTGCCAAAACCGACCCAAGTTAGTGCAAATCACACTTTTACCCCTTCCCCATGTCTCCATAACAGCATTATGGTGTGCATAATATTATATTAATTTTTGGGTATTTTTGTCATTTTTAGGTTATGGAACTTGTGTTTACCCGTCTTCTCCGAGGTATGTACACTTTCATCTTTTGAATCACGTATTATATTTACTTTGCATATTTAAAAAGATTTCTAAGCATTTAATTAGATATAGAAATTATAAGATTGAATTTATATATCCTCTTTACAATAATATTGACTGTTTATTCTTATATATATATTTTTACAAATTAATAGTGAAATAAATTAAAGAATAATGTTTTACTGTTTTTTTATTACCCAAATATTAATATTTTTATTAAAACTAGAAATATAAATATAGTACTATAGTAGCGTCTTTATATTTTAGAATTTTAATTAATTGGGGCTATCTTTTTTATTAAAAAATGTATATTTTGAAAGGAGTGAAAAAAATATTTGAGTTTTACAAAATATTATAAGAGAGTGAGTGGTTGTGTGGGGTGGTCGCGTGCGAAGGGTGTTGCTTTTTTCTGTGAGATTGTACACGTGTCGCAATCTCACTTATGGGGTTGTATTTGAATTATTTTCTGACCGTTCGATTGCTGTGTCCTCACTTTTTCCTTGAACACTGCCCCGCATACTGTATGACATGTCCTATCTCGATGTTTCTCTCTATAGTGTATACGTTTGAGTTGTGTTCCAACAAACATTCGTACATGTTCAAAATTTTAAATTGAAAACAAAATTGATGGACAGATTAAACAAAAGTCTTGACATTTTAAATAAGCCTTCGTACAAATTTTTTTTATCAACTTTTGTGTAGAAGATATAATTAAGAGATTTTAAATAAACTCTTCAAAATTTGTAATAAGCTGTCGTAAATCATAAATTAAAAAAAAATAGTGTTTTCACATTATCTCCAAGACTATGTAATTATTGGTCTTACGTTTGTTGTATGTTTTATTGTTATATTATTATTTATATTACTAATAGTTATTAAGATGCGTATGATATTATGTTTTATTGTTAAATTTCATTTATAAATATTAGTAAGATGTTATATAAATGTGTATTTTAGTAATTTTTAAGTAAATGTTTGTGTTATTTACATCTGCAATCTTTAAATCATACAAACGAGTGGTGTATATTATACTAAGGATACAAGTATTTCAACTATAGTTATATATCAATTATATTGGGTTTTACATTACAATATATCAAAACTTCAAGACTAACTAGTCACTAAACACAACAACAGTGGTAAACAGCAAGAGATTAGTGAGTTATTTATGAATACATATGTAATAACTTAATAAATATCTTGAGATAACCTCAAGTCCTCAACATAGTTGCTTGAAAGTCGTGTTTCCAATCATCTGCATGCTATCATCCTCATTTGGGACCAACATGATGAGTCCTATATCCATATTGGATGATAGTCTCAAGCAAATTGTTTACATGTGTCCCATAATTTGACCAATTTTATAAGTCCCCATATGGAACAACATAATTAAATCTCCACTTGCGACATATACAAGTTGTAGGATCTTAAGCTTCTATATGAATGAAATCATGACTCAAATCTGATATTGAATTAACACAAGACGTAAATAAAATATGAATTTCATTAGAGATTAAAAAGCGCTCAATTTCAAAGACATAAGAACTCTCTCTCTCTCTCTCTCTCTCTCTCTCTCTCTTTATATAGGAGAATATAAAGGAGTCGGTTAGGCTCTAACCAATGAGGTCAGGACACTGAAGTTAAGACAGCCTATCAAAGACAGATTAACTCAAGTTGCGAAGCCTAGACTATGAAAACAAAACATACAAGACCAAATATCCATTTCGCATACAAAACATGAAGACAGAATATTACACTGTGAAACCCCTTTCAAATACACACTCCACACAACTATATAATGTGTGAAACCTATCCCCCCTCCTTATGTTTAGTTGCGAAGGAATCATTGTAAGAACCACTATACAAATTGTCATCCACCAACGAAGCATATCTCAGACACACTTAAGATCATCTATAGTGTTCATCTTGCAAATCTAAGCTTTTATAGTTAGTGTGATAGATTTATAGAAATGTTTATCTTGGAGAAACATCATGCAATTCTTCACATTGCGATCTATATGAACCCATCTTACATTTCTTCAACATGATCTGGCTGATCAAATGTTGGAGTTAAGATGTGAGTTTTGATTCTTCTTTCTTTAAAAGATTGAATAACATAAACCAATCATAAGGATTCATAATTGGAACATCAACAAACGTGAACTCAGATTCTTCATTACTTAACCCTCTTGCTACGGTGAACTTGTTGTTCGTATACCCATCTACCTTTGCTTCTTCACACTTGACAACTATCTTCTTCAGACTCTAAAATTCATATTATGGCTTTGAATAAGTGACATAAAACTTGAAAATATTATTTTCATAGCATTGTTAATTTGTTTATTTGTTGATCTCCTGATACTTGATACACATTTGAAAGGATTTGTCCTTCTTCTTGACAAATAGAACTGGTGTTCTCTAACATAAGAAGCTTGTTCTGATACAATATTTGTGAAGAAGTCCGTGTAATTGACTAGATAGTTCTTGTATTTTTTATGAAGCCAACCAGGAGGGAGTTTTCACTACTCGTGCTGCTCTTGGGACTAAGTCGATGCGAACTTGGCTTCTCGAACAGGTGGTACCCATGTAAATCTTCAAGGAGTACATTAGGATAGGTCGTATAGACGAGGTATGTCTTTGACCTTTCTTTTGTTCTTTTTATCTACAACGTGCAACAAGAAAGCATAGTTCATCTTATGTAGATACTTCCGAGCCTTTGTGTAAAGACGAGTTTGAGGTATCGTCCTAACTAGTCTTCGTAAATTATTAGGGTTTCTCCATCTGTCAAGCGGTTCGTACGACTTTTCGTAACACAATAAACTAGCGTGACATAGAGAAAAAAATCAATTCGTACCGATAGTAACACCGAAACTGTCACACCCCCGAACCAGACGGCGGAAACGCCCGGGGGCTTTTGTGACTCAATTGAATACCATTACAATGAATATACATGAAACATAACATCATACATCACCAAACATTGGAATAATACAACTGGTAACGTTTACATCCATTACATTGTCTCAAAATATTACATCCCCAAAATAAATTGTTCATTGTTACTTAATCAACCGCAAATCAATCATAGAGTACAGTCCTTTCTTCACTTATCTGTTACCTGAGAATACAAGTATTTTGGAAAAACGTCAACATATGAAATGTTGGTGAGTTCATAAGTAATGTTTAAAATCCAATGTTTGTATTGTTTTGAAAACCGCCAGAAAATCCGATATTTTCTAAAAATAGTATAGCGTAAAAAGAAATACGTGAAGATCCGTGAGTATGCTTGTTTGTTTTCTATAGATGTAAGCGTACGAGTTGTGAAATTCGGCATGTAGTTCGTAAGTGTACTAGTTGAAAACCCTAGGAAAACCCGACGTTTTCCTATCACTTTGCTTTAATTAGTTTATGTGTTATTGTTTCGTTACGTTAGAGGTATTCGTTGAGCTCCGGAGGCATTGAGTATACAGTGGGTGGTGAATTGTTGTAACATCCGTTAATGAAAACGTCCGGTCGACAACCGTACTAGCGATCCCTTAGGTGTCACTCGCACTTATTCACACAACTCAATCCTCCCGGACTTGTGTAGTCCACGACCGAAGAGAAAAAGAGAAGGTGCGAAACCCTCGGTATTTCCCTACGTCGTTCAAGACCATTGCAATTGCGAAGGGCCCGAAGCCCAACCCGCAATCGTGAGTTCCCGACTTTACTAGCAGCACCGAAGGACCCTTGGGACCAGCAGCACGTTTGCCATTGAAAGTCCTTTTACACGCGGTTAAGTCGTATTAGACCCAACTACATGTAAGCAAGTATCCTTTGGGCCTAAAGATCATGTCATCGGGCTAGCTAGGCTCAACAAGCATGATTTGCAACTTTTGGGCCTAAGGAGTGTACGTCGACGTATTGAGTAATTCCACGAGAGTATAGAGTTCCGAGAGTTCCATATGTGTATTGAGCGTTGTAGTGTTAGTAGTTTTGGATTTGTTATTGATTCGAGACCGAATCAATTCGTTTAACAACGATTTTTGGTATTGTTGTGTATTGTGTCGGTAGTCGCGGTGCCAATATTCGATCAAGTTGCGTGTATTGAATTAGCCTTGAAAGTTTTCTGTTTTCAGCCCCTCATTGTTTGTAAAATTTACTTTTTCAACCCTCTAATTAAATAACTTTCCGGTTTGGTCCTTAAATCATTTTTCTTGACATTTTAACACCAAAAATTATTGAAATTAATATTTTTCAGCATATTTTTCATTGAAAACAGTTTAAGTCCCTGAAATTGCAGTTTTCTCGGTTATAACCCTCTTTTTCGCAGTTTTTACAATTTTGGCCCTAATTGGAAAATTTTTGCAACTTTGGTCCTTTTTAAATTTGAAAAGCATTTTAAACCTTTGAAAAGTACTTGTAACACTAGTAGTCCACTGTTTTACAGAAAAACACAGTTTTGGCCCTCCAAAACAGAAAAATTCGCATAATGGGCCCTATTGGGCCGAAATTGTCATTTTTAGCCCATTAAGCTTGAAATTTATGTTTTTAATCCTCCAAAAGAGTATATTTTCAGAAAATACATTATGGAAACTGTTTTGACTCATCTCACCCATCAGATTTCGAAATATTTCATTTTGGGCCCTTCAACTTTGTATTTTTAACATTTATGTCAAAAAAATGAGTTTTTAGCCCAAAGTATGTATTGTTAAGCCACTTAGCTATTTTTCTTGGTATCCTTTGTATGTAGTAGTATGTTTTATGTTAGTATCATTTAACATAAAGTATATCTCGGTTTTTTTTTTGATTTATGACTAGATCCAACATCATAATCATACCAAACACACATATAAGCATAGAAATCATACAAAGCATACACATAATGATAGATCTACACCTTTGCTTGTATTCTCCCCCACAAAAACTTATAAAAACCGAAAATAAGGGGGTATGAAGCTCACCTTTGGATGTTGATTCGGTTTTTGAAGAGAGGATGGAAGAAAACTTGGTGATTTTCGACCCTAGCACCCCTTGATGAAGATTTCGAGTTTATGGAGTTCTAAGACACAAGTTTATGATTTCATGAGAGTTAAGAAGAGATTTTTGGATATAAGAAGAAGTCTAAAGTGTGGATCCAAGTTTCAACTTACCTAGATGATGATCTTTGTGGAAGAACTCCCTTGAATTCCTCTTAGATCTTCGAAAATTTGGAGAGAAATGGAGAGAGCTCCTTGAGAGAAAAGATGAGTGAAATGTTTGTGTGTGTGTTTGGGATTCGGCCGAGAGGGGGAAAGAGGAAAGAAGAGGGTGGCTTTGACAAGATAGATGCTTGGAAGTATGAGTTGCATGCATGGATATCCATCAAATAAAAGTGAGGTGGCAATCCAAAGTCAACTCCTCCTTATTCTTGGGCTTGGGCCGAGGATGGAGAGGGAAGAAAGAATTTTTGGGCTTTTTGCCCCTAAGCCCAATATTAGAATTAGTTCGGATGAGTTTTAACCTAAAGGGAAATATAATATGATTTTTATACTTTGTTGAGCTAGTTAGGTTAATCATGGATCAAAGCTTTTAATTCATTTCATTCTAGGCCCAACATGGCCCAAAATATTGAAATAAATAAATGTGGGTCCAATTAGAGCCCATATAAGGGTTCTAAGCCCATGAAAGTCAAATTGGAAGCTTATTGGTCCATTTGGGCCCAATAAGGAAGTCCCAGTCCAAAATGGACTTAAACGAGAACTTCTAGGGTTTCCAATTTCTTGATGACCATTTGTAGTACTTGTACGATGTATTTGTTTGAAGTTTTTGATGTCATAATAATAGGTATCACACATGCTCATAAGTTTTTGATTCAACCTTTACTTGAGTTTAGTGATTACAAGACACAAAATTTCTA